GAGCAAGGTTTGGACTTGGAGTCCCAAGTGATTAATACACATAAGTTATTTAAATTTACAGTTTGTTTCTTAATAAGTTGAAGACTAATCGTTAATATTGACAAATATAATGTTAACGGTATTTGTATATTATATAAAAGAGGTATTGCTATCCACACACAAGTTTTACTTCTTACATATCTCTCTTAATTGTCGGTCATCGGATCAAATGAATTAAAAAAAATCAATGACCAAAGCGGGTGGGAAGTGAAAATGAGTGTGAATAGCATTGTTCTAAAAATATAGTGGGTTTTGATTGATTGTAGTTTGAAATGAATCTCGTAAATGTAAAGTCGGATTCTCTCTTAAAGTTACCCTTCCTTTATGTAAAGCCATTTCTATATATGAAAGGTTAAATGTAGTCCTTACATATGTTTTAGCTCTCTAAAAATTAATATTTTAAAAATTACTTTAGTGCTAAATTTTTCCATCTCTAACAATGCACGACTATATTTTATTTCCATTCACATTTGGCTACTTTTTTTTGGGCCAAGCTTGTCTGCCATGCGCTGCATGTCGCGTGTCATGGGGCTAAACTTAGCCTAATTCTTCTAGTCAGAATCCCTTTAGTTTTTTGGAGAGGTTAGTTTTATCAATTTTAAGACTAAATATGGCATAATAGGCTTAATAGCCCTTATAGCTTGACATGGCCTAAAACTTTCTTTTTGACGTAAACTGGCTATAATACTAAATTTTCGCAGAGAGTCCCCAAAACTTGCATCCTCTATGACTCACAATAATAAATATAAAATTTTCTTTTTAAAGTATAAAAATCTTTTAAGAGGTTTATCCTGTTCAGTGGTCATTATGAAATAGATAATACTACGGAGATTAATTTTTTAAACAAAATTTGCAAATCAAATAATATGTCGTTAATAAGAAATAAGCACGTTAAATCGATACTTAATTAATAATCTAATTATCTACAAATACATCATCTAGTTAGCAGATTTAATTTAAAAAATTTAATCTCTTTAGGATCATCCGAAATGAAATTGACATACTTGGGTGTGACTTCAATTCAACTGAACTCGTTTATGAAGAGAAGAAAAAGGATAAATGTATTAACTGACGTCCAAATAAACAAATTTAAATGTTTTTTTTGGTCAAAAAAGAAATTCAATGTTGGGTTGACGTTAGTTTGTGTCGGTTTATGATTGTCGGTGGTGGAGATAGCCTTGAAAGTTAGCGACAATATTCGTCGAGAAAACGTTTTCTGTATTTTAAGAAATTAGAATAAGAGAAAGGGTAAGAAAGTTGAGTGTGACCCAATCAATGAGAGGACGTGAAAAGTCCGACGTTAGAGAAAAGATCAAATCCTACAAGGACCTGTAAAAAGTTCGGGTTCCTGCACATGTAGAAGTTTCCCTTAATGTTCTACTGTTCTTTTTGTTTAATTCTGAGTCGTGTCTTGATAGTAAGGAATATATAATGTTTGTCACAGTTTGAATATTACGGAACTTTTGATTTGGGATTATGTATTGTTGAATTCTAGGAGACGAACACTACCAAACTACAAGCTTGCTATGGGCAAAATTTTATCTTTAGGACATTGCATTTATACTAACCTCAACCTCCAAGCTTGTTAGTATTTCTTACTTTCTTTGTTGTTTACGTTGATTGTATACACATTTCTTGTTGTAGTATATTTGGTTGTAGTTTTGTGAGTATTGTTATCGGAATTCATATTATTATTTTCATATTTTCTTAAATTGCTCCGACAATGATTGTATTGACTAAGCACGGAAGCCACTCCCAAATTTGCGAGAAACATTTTGCCCCACCGTCACACTATCAGGTGGCGTACTAATTCACTCTTTTTATATTTATAACACACGACTAGGTAATGCTTGATTATTTTCTAATTAAGAAAAAGCAATTTCCCATTTTGACAAATCATTTGTTTTGATCATCATACTATCACGTGGCATCACTAATTCACCCATTTTATATCTATAACACACGATCGGGTATTACTTGTTTCCTGTCTAATTAAGAAGGACCAATTTCCCATTCTGAAAAATCATAACTGACACACTTGTTGAAATAACTCATTGAAAATACAAAAAGAACAAGTTTGCACACAATTCATCTGTGATTGTCAAAGATGTATGAGTGCATTACTCACAAGATTCATAAATTTTTAACTCTATAATTTACTCACATTATAATACGTGAATTTTTTAAACTAAATAATGGTGTTACCGTAAGACAAAAAAAATGCTAAATTTCGAACTGTCCCTAAAAATTAAGGTAGATTTAAGAGGTAAGGTAGATTTAAAAGGTCAATGGTTTGGATTGGCCAAATATGAACTCCACCAATTCAAAAGTGAAATTTTGCAGTGGGACAATATGTTTGCAACCTCTCATTTGAAATGGCTTCTTCTTTGCTCAATTGCGTTTCGACATGGTAAAGAGTTTAGAGAAATGCTCAGGAGATTCTCAAAAGTTAAACTTCCGATGAATTCTTTACTACCTCATGTTTTTGGCACAATGTTTTATACGAAGCTTTAACGACAAGGGTTTTTTCAAACTTTTTCTTAACAAAAGAACTATCTAATAACTTTATTCAATAAAAATGGCTTAAATTTTAATGAAAAGAACAAAAAATACACACAAATAGACCTAAGTTTTAGGCCATCTCCAACCGAAGGGTCCAGATGACCGAAAATAACCCGAAAACCGTCTCCAACTGAGGGTTAGGCCTGAGGGCTCGTGGGCCCCATAGAATCTGAAAGGGCCAAAAGGCTGGCCACATGCAGCCAGCCAGCCTAGCACCTGGCTGGCTAAATTTTTTTTAATGCTATCGGTTATAACCGACAGAAATAAAAGAAATAGTGTAGGTTATAGCCGACACAAATAGTATGGAATATTTTTTAATATAACGGCTAGCTGACGTCAGCTAGCCGTTCTTTTTGAAATTTTTTTTACAGTTTTTTTTAACAATTTTTTTTTAAAATTCTATTTTTTCCTATAACTTCCTAAGACATTATACAACATTAAATTAAACAATATGAAACAACATTAAATAACATTAAATTTAATTTGGATTTGAATTGCAGTTGTAGTTTTTAAATAATAAATTATGTTTGGCCTTATAGTCCTTTGGCCTTTTGTTGGAGACGATTTTTTGTGACTGGGCTAAAACGAGCCCTATGGCCCTTTGGCTCTCGATTGGAGATGAAAGCAAATATGGTCATGTACTTTTTATTAAAATATTAATTTCTTGGAGGGCCAGAGGGCTAAAACGAGCCCTCTAGCCTACCCTCGGTTGGAGATGGCCTTAAAACTCACGTGTTTGAAGTCCCGCCCCGCCAAAAGAAGTGTAGTTCATCACAGGTCCACCATTTGACATAGCTTGCCCAATCACAAGTTTGAGATGCTGAATTTCTTCCTTCAGTGTAGATTTAAATCCCATCCGGATCCTCTTTGTGAGGATTTCTAAGATCCTCACATTCTATCCGTTCATCGTATATCATGCGGCCAGAAATCATTGCAAATTTTTTTTATTTAAAATTAAACACAAATAGTATGTAACGAAAGCTAGTCACACGATATAAGATGAATTGATAGAATGTGAGGATTTCTAGAATTCTTAGACCATCTCCAACCGAAGGGTCCAGAGGGCCAAAGGGCCGAAAAACACCCAAAAACCATTTCCAACCGAGGGCTAGGTTAGAGGGCTTGTGGGCCCCACGGAATATGAAAGGGCCAAAAGGCTAGCCCAATCCAGCCAGCCAACCCCGGGCTGGCCATAAATGTGAGCATTTCTGTCAGATATAACCGACAGGAATGTTAGGCCAAATTTTCAAATGCAACGGCTAGCTAACGTCAGCTAGCCATTATTTTTGAATTTTTTTTATTTACAAATTTTTTTTTCGTATAACTTCTATTTTTTTCTATAACTTCCTATAACTTCTATTTTACAAAATTTGTTTCATATTTCTTTTTAAATTCTATTTTTTTTCCTATAACTTCCTAAGTCATTATACAACATTAAATAACATTAAATTTAAATAACAAATTATGTTTGGCCCTATGGCTTTTTGGTCCTTGGTTGGAGACGTTTTTTTGTGACAGGGCTAAAATGAGCCCTTTGGCTCTCGGTTGGAGATGAAGACAAATATGGCCCTGTAGTGTTCATTAAAATATTAATTTCTTTGAGGGCCAGATGGCTAAGACGAGTCATTTGGCCAGCCCTCGGTTGGAGATAGCCTTACAAAAAACATACGAAGAGGATCCTCATCCCTTCAGTGCATCGTTCAATGCTACAAAACAAACAAAAACAATTTGTTTCGGAAAAGTCAATTTCATTCACACAGGTACAAGAACCAGAAGTTAGATGGAATCAGAAAAACGAGGAAACCTCCACAAACAAGATGCTACAATTTTATTTACTTTCTGGTTCCCGTTGTAGGCAAAGAAATTGTACATCGGATGCTGATTGGCTCAATTAATGAAACATTGTGTAAATGGGCATAAATTCAAGGTAAATCTTTCTTGCCCATATCGACGGTGGAGGTCGACCCACGTTACACAAAAAGATGTAATTACATCCAGAAATTTCTGCAGGTACTCTAGTCCTAGAAAAGCAAAACATTTGTTAGGACATAATCGTCGGGTCCGGCTACACAACGAACACGTACTTTTGCCGATTGAGCGGCGTAGCACCACTCCAGTCTGGTAAACCATCTGATGGGTCGTTCTTAGTTTTTCATACGCATTCGTGCCCTAGAAAAATTGGATCATATGATGTAGAACTCAAACATGAGAAATCCTTGTATGCAACCACAAGAGATCAACACAGGACCAATACAGAGCTCGTTTGGATGTACTTTTAAGAGCTCGTTTGGATGTACTTTTAAAATGATTGAAATCGTTTTGGTGAAATTGATTTTGAGTTGTAAAAGCACTTTTAAGTGCTTTTTGAAAGAAGCATCAGATATGTGCTTCTTGCAGGAAGCACTTAAAGTGTTTTTTCAGGATCCACTTGGATTTTTACTAAGGATTGGTTTCAAAAACATTTTCACCAAAATCGTTTTCAGTCATTTTAAAAACACATCCAAACGAGTCCATAGTGTTTTCATACAAGGAAATGGGAACCAATATAAACTCATTCGCTGCAATGTTACGTGGCCTAATCTCAACACGGAAGGGTGGAATCCCTTCCGCCGAGGACACGAACAATGCTGCAGAAACAAAGACTCAGTTAAGCAGTTATGCTTTCTCCTGAGAACGGCTGACAATCTATAATCGATGCTCTCATCCTTCTCTAAGTGCAGATACTCTATGCAGTGGAAGCAGCAACTTCATATCCTTGCACAAACCTTCTCAACTTTTCGGTTTCACCAACAGCAGAAAGCCATTCGGTCAGGATCTCCATGGTTATATAATCCGGATTACATGCCTGTTCAATCATTTGATCCATTAATTTAAATGCTTTCTCCAGCAAATTATTCTCCTTAAGACCTTTGAACATGGCATTGAATGTCAAGGTATTAGGTCTCACTCCCTTATTTTTCATACTATCCATCAACGAAAATGCGACGTCCACTTCATTATTCTTGCATAAAGAATCTATTAAGATGTTGTATACTACTGTGTTGGGAGGAGCACTCCACTTAGAACCCATGTCTCTGAAGATCTTCATGGCTTTGTATGTATCGCCCTTCAAACAATATGCATGAATCAATGATCCAAAAGTGAAAACAGTTGGAACAAGGCCCTCATTTATCATCTTGCTCAGGACTCTATGAGCAGTTGTTAGTTCCCCAGCTGAGCACAAATATGAAATCAGCGTGTTGTATGTGATGCTATCAGGCTTTACTCCAGCTGTCTCCATTTCCTGGATCATCTCATGCACCTTCTCGAGTTTTTTTGTCTTGCAGAACCCGTTGATCAAAACATTGAAGGCAATGACATCCAGGGAGAACCCGGCCTCCTTCAACTTTGATACAACAATGTTGGCATCATCCATCCTTCTGGCTTGGCTTAAACCAGAGATCAAGCGGTAGTAAACTTTTGCATCTGTGGAGCATCCAGAACTTAACATTTGCTCAAACAGTTCCATTGCCATGCCAATATTGTTTACATTACAAAAGGAAGTGATTAGCATCGTGTACGTTGTGACATTGCCTTTTATACCATCCCTCTGCATTTCATTAAGGAACTCCAGTGCGCTGTTGAGCCTCCCATGTTTACAGAGACCATCAACCAAAGTATTGAGAGTAACTACACTTGGCGGTATACCTTCCTCCTTCATTTGATCATAGAGCTCACGACCCCTCTCGATGTCCCCAACCTTGTTGAAACCGTCAATCAAACTATTGTAGGTAACAGTATTAGGTGCACAGCCATCTTGCAATCTCATTTTTTCCATCAGACGTAATCCTTCTTCTTGCCTTCCCACTTTACAAAGTCCATCAATCAGAGTGTTAAAAATGATCACATCGGGTTCAGCCGAAATCCCATCAGGTTTCTCTCCTCCTCCACTTATCCTTTCAAACAACTCCAAGGCCTCATCCACCCTCCTAGACTTGCACAAACAGTTAATGACAATACCGTAAGTTACAACATTGGGAGGGATGTCCATTTCTTTCATCTTTACCATAAGCTCATTCATCCTCTTAAAATCTTTAACTCTTCCCAAACCTGTCAAAAGCGCATTGCAACAAGCAGCTTCTACAGCACCACCAGAATTAATAATGTAATATAAAACGTCCCAAGCCCGACTAGTGTTCCTGTTCCTACACAACGACGTGATCAATTTCGTAAGTTTCAAACTATCAGGAAACACACCATGCTCCCCAAATTTCTGCACCAAACCCACAATGTCCTCCTCACTGACGCTCCTCCCGGGCCACTCTCTCTTCAGCAAAGAGGAAAGCACAATATCAGCAGTAACACTGTCAACCCGGAACTCTGCATTTGGATCAAACATTTTGTCGAGCACCTTCAGTGCATCATCGACCCGTCCCCATTTCAACAGCACACTAATCACCCAATTGCGAAGATGGGTATTCTTCAAACCGGGGTCCAGACCGTTATACACGTTGACCGCCTCATCCACCATACCAGCAAAGCCCAGCGATCGAACTAGCAGAACAGCGGCGCCCATATTAACCGGAATGTTCCGCTCTTTCGCCATCTTATACATGTCGAAAAGCCTAGTTTGCGAGTAGGGTTCTCGCTCAGCGAGCTCGAGAACGGCCTGGAATGATGAAGAGAGCGAGGCCGCCGCCGCCGCCGAGTCCGGTGAGGTTGCCACATTCTCGGAAACGTAGTCGAAGAACTTGAGGGCTTTGGAGGAAGTGTTGAGGCGGCGAGTGATGCGGAAGAGAGAGCGAGGAGAAGGAGCGGCGGCGGAGTCGGAGAAGAGGAGGTGGCGGAGCTGGTCCAAGTTCCAGTCTTTTTCATCGGATTCGAGGAGTTGGACGACTTGGGTTACTAGCGAGTCATCTTCGTGGGGTTGTTTGCTGGGTTTGGGGTTGGGATTGGGATCGGAATCGGTGGAGAATTGGTGGTTGAGGAGGAGGAGAACGACGGAGGATTGGGTTTTGGAGGGTTGGGGTTTAAGGAGGTGCTTTGAGGCTGAGAGTGATAGGTGGTTCATTTTGTTTTGGGGGGAATTTGAAGTAGGGGATTAGGGTTTAAGAAGACATGGGATTGTACTTTGGGACTGTTTATTTCAATTTTGATTTGGTGTCTAATTTTTCTTTAATGGGTTAGTTAGTAAAATTGTGATTGTTTGATCATTTGTCGGAGAAAAAAGAGAATGATTTCGATTTCTGACTTCTCATTTTTATGTGTTTATTGACACATGAGGAATCAATATACATTCAAATAAAATAAAAATATGCAAGTATAGATCAACTACTCGTATGATCCCATCTAGTTGATCCAATCCACATTCCATACGGAAGTAATCGTAGAAATTTTACATGTACAAGATTCTAGCTTCTATTCCGTTTGCACAAAATACATGCAAGTAGCAAAGTTCCACTGGAGAAGTTTGGATGCATTTCACACTCAAAGAAACCATTCCTCTGTTGTTACATCAGACGGAATATAAATCACTCCTCAACTGCAGCAGATTCTGCAGCAAATAATAATGTTCTCATATTCTTTATAAAGGTGCCTGTATCGGTAATCATATGAAGTTACGAATAAAACCCTGAAATGGATGAGTCTTGTCTCTGAAGTCGCTTCCAAATTCTAAACACAACTTTATGCAGAAGAATAAAACATTTCTATGACAACTCAAAGTGGAAACCAGTTGCATATTTTGGATACCTCACTGTTACAAAGAGACCACGAGACAGCGTCGGTGTTGCACATTTTCATTACATACCTGTTTACTTCGTTATCCAACTTTCAACGCGAGCCCTGCCTTTAGAAACGAATTCTTCTAGGCTGGCCCCTTATCAGTCGCTTGTCTGGCTGCCTCCGCTAGGTTAGTTGCTTCTATTGATCTTCTCTGCTGCTTCAGCTGCTGCAGATGCTGCCTTGTCCAAATCGCACTTTTGTAACGAACTTTATAAACCATTAACATCTTGAGCGCTTGTTCTATATGGGCTGTGGGCAGCGCCAGGAAATGAACCGTTAGTCACTTCTTCCTTGTAACCTTGGCATGAAATGGATGCTGCATCATTCCAACAAGACTATGATATACTAGCACGCCTGATATGGGGAAAGAGAACAAGTGTGCTGAACATCGGAACCATGTCAGCAAGGGCGCGCAAAATCTACGAGGAAAATTATTTAAATTGTGCGCATCGTACAAGTTCAGAGGAGTGAAGTAACACAACTGAAGCTCATGTGCCCAATCAAGCTTTGGTTCTAGGCTTGTCCGAGCTTGAGCTAGCCTAGCTCAAATTCAGTAGCTTTGGTTCTAGTGATGTAAGTAGTTTTACTTTTTTTTTTTATCGACGTGCATTGTCGATATTGTTCTATTAAAAAAAATTAATACATACACTTGTTAGAATATAGGTATGAAAATGAATATTATAGCCGATTGTAGTGTTTCAATTGAGATAGAAAAGTTTTGCTAGAAAGCTTAAAACTATCCTAATTTTTGTAGGATTTAATTCAAATTATCTTAGTCCTAGTGGGACTGGAAGTCTATTTTGATGATGCACTTGTAATATGTTTAGATTCATAGTTGGTATCCTATGGTGATTCTAATAGGATAATTAGTAGGATTGATCTATTATAAATAGTGGCCACTGCTCTAACAAAACGTACTCTCAATATTGAACTAAGACCTATTGTGAGTTTGAGTACTTTTGGTTTTGCAATAGAGGAGAAGGTGCATTGTTTAGAAGTCTGCTTTGGCTTCTTCTTCTACTGCTTTTACGGGTTAGTTTGTTATTACCTTTATTGAATTGTGATTTTAATACTTGTATAAATTTGTGGTTCATGAACTTAATCTTTTAACTTATGTTTTTTTATTAGTGTATCTTGTTGTGTACTTCTTGTTAGTATTTTGACAGTTTCTGAGTAAATTTTAGTGTAGGATTTCGATGAGCTAGGATTTCGGAGAATACATAGAGCTCAAAATGGAGTTCGTTGCTTACGCCATCTCTAACTTAAAACCATTTTATGCAATTTTTTCTTTCAGCCGTATATAGATGGATATGAAAAATGAATGATTGAAATTGAAAATAAAAAGAATTGTCGAAATCAAATCTACAGGTTAAAACACTAGTATCATGATATGCTAAGTAGAATTGAAGTCGCTCTCTCTTTATGATTGGTTTTGTTTATATGTGGAACTTTGGTAATGAACCTCTCTCGGGATTAATTTGAATTGAGGTGATGGAATGAAGGGCATGCAAGATATAGTCAATAGCATTTTTTAGTGACTTTTCATAGTTGAGATGAACTTTTTCAAAGGGTAATGCTAGAAAGACTAAATTTATAGATAAAACTTTGTAAATGAAATGTTAAGACGGTAATCCCACGGTCGACATCAAGAGTTGAGCGGCCTTATCCAAGTCAAAATATCCTAAAGACCTTGTTTTAGAGGTTTTTTTTTTTTGTCAGTTACCGAATTTTGAAAGTATTTCGTGACGGAGAATTTGTGAATAGGATCCAAAAGTTACTATTTTCTATTCAATTTTGCACAAAATTCTTCGAACTAGCAAAGCTCCACAATTTTTTGTACATTGCACACTCCTAAAACCATTCATATGTTGTCCAACCCAAACGAATATAAATCAAGTCACTCCTCAATTGCAGCAGATCCTACCGCAAATAATAATGTTCTCAACCTTTTTTTTTTTTTTCTTTTTTTTTGATATTATTATTAAGGAGAGTGGATGAGTTATAAACCATGACAATAATTTAAGGTAGAGGCAAGTATCGAACTTGAGATGCATGGGTATAAACTTAGCAACCTGTCCTAGGATATTGGACCATACGCAAACTTGTATGAAAGGTGGAAATGAAAAGGAAACCCTGTATTATATGCGCAAATAGTAATCACACGAAGTTTCGAATAAATACCGAAATGGCTTCAAATCTTTATTTCTGAATTTGCTTCCAAATTCCGAACATAACTTTATGCAAAAGGATCAAACTTTTCTATTACAAGGGGGAACCGAACTGCATAATCAGGATACCTCACTGTTACAAAAGATAGATTTGTCATGTTCCTTCAAACTCTTATTATCACGAAGACAAGGCAAGACCGTTGTGTTGAGAGTTTCCAAGAGACGGCATGAATGTTGCACAGTTTCATTTCATACCTATTTACTTTGTTATGCAACCTTGAATTGAATCAGTAATAACCAACTACCACGAGCCCTGCCTAAATGCTATTTTGGGGTTGCCTCAATGTTATTCGCCTCTATTGATCTTCTCAACTGCTGCAGTTGCTGCAGATGCTGCCTTGTCGAAACCCAACTTCTGTAACTCACTTGAAAAGCCATCAACATCAGCAGCACTGATTTTATATGGGCTGTGTGCCGCACCAGGAAACGTACCACTAGTCACTTCTTCCTTGTATTCTACTAGAGCTTTGTTGATGACTTCTCCAACATGTGCAAACTGCTTGCAGAATTTCGGGGTAACCTGAAAAAGGTAAGGTGCTTATTTGATTAAATGAAATTCGCATGACTGGAGAGTAAGCAGCATTATTAAGGAGATGCAACTGTTGAGTTAACCTTGGCATGATGTGGATGTTGCATCATTCCAAGAAGATCATGGTAAACTAGCACCTGCGTGATATAGGGAAGAGAGAATTAGTGCGCAGAAATAACGGAACTTTGTCTATGAAGAAAGGGCATGCAAAAACTGCACTAACTACAAGTTCAAAGAAGTGAACCAACACAATTCAAGCTCATGAGTCATCTAGCTTTGGTTCTACATATCTCCTGAGCTTGACCCTAACTCAAATTTAGTAGCTTTGAGCTGACTAACTGACTACATTCAATTACTAGCATGCAACCTTTTTTTATCAGATATGAATACTGATGTGAAAAAACTGTGGAACAATGAAAATTGTTATTTATTTCCCTGCCTGAAAATCAAAAAACCCGTTGCAACAATAAAATTTCAAGTTACAGAAAGACACACTAAATAGATTTGAACAATATGATACTCAACAAACTACCTCGAAGATGGTATATCTATTTAACACCAAATGGAATCGCATACACAAGGCATATGCATACAACCAACGTGATTAGGATTACTTAATCAACTAACCTGACCACTGCAGAAAGGCCCTGCGCCAATGCCAATGGTAGGAATCTGAAGAGCAGATGTTGCAGCAGCAGCGACCGGCGGAGGTACGCATTCTAAAACAACAGAAAAGCACCCAGCTTCTTGCAGAGCCAGTGCTGTCTCCACAACCTGCACACAGAATCCAACGCAACAAATTATTACAGCGAAGAAAGCCCGAAAACCTAAATAGCAAAACAGAATTACCATTTGCATGTGTACAGACCTTTACAGCACTAGCAACATTCCTTCCCTGGGGCCTAAAACCCCCAAGAACACTAATGGCCTGAGGAGTAAGTCCCACATGCCCCATCACAGCAATTCCAGCTTCAACGATAGATTTTGCCGCAGTAATCCTCGAAGGTGCCCCTCCTTCCAATTTAATCGCATCCATTCCTCCCTCCTTTAAAACCCTCACCGCCGTATCGACAGCCTGCTCATAATCGAAACTGCAACATCACCAACCATGGCTCACTCACAAAATCAGAAAAGCAAAACACACACTCATTTCTGCAATCCAATACTGGATTGTTTCTGCTTGGCAACCATGAAATTCGAAAATGTAAGAAATCAGGTAAATTTATTTATTTCACCATCTTGGATGTAAATTCCATCTGTCAAAAACAGAAAACGAAAATTTGATAAATTTATTTCTTTACTTTCTCAGCAACCAACCAGTCTTCAAATGTCATTTTCCTCAACATTCTCACTATCCAAACAGATTTATCTCCACATGAAAAATAAAACTAATAAAAGAAGTAACATCAAAACCCAAATTAACAACGCAATTTTCCATTTGATTTAATAAATACCTGATTGGAGCTAGACTCATAGAACCCAAACGGCAAGTCCCCAACCAAAAGCGGCCGCTTTGCGCCACGCGCCACAGCTCGGCAGTGAACAAGCATTTCGTCAAGCGTGATGGGCAGAGTGGTGTCGTAGCCATGAACCACCATCGCCGCCGAATCGCCGACCAAGCAAATGTCTATGCCGGCGGAATCCAAGTGCACCGCAGAAGGGTAATCGTAGGCGGTGACCATGGTGAT